TGTTAAGCGTCACTGACTATGGCCTGGGCATCCTCTCTGTCAACAGAACCCAGCTAAAAAGACTGGACCTCGGCTGCACAAAAGACACCTCCTGTCACGCCATGCGATATGTCCTGTGTTTGCCGACGATGGCTAACAGACACAATGTTGCACAGGTCAAGGCGTACATGAGGGTTTTGGTAGACGTTAACCACCCCACTGCACAAAGCTATCCACGTCACAAAGAGAATGCGCCTCAAAAAAGCCACTCCTGGATGACCAAGGCTGAAGATTTAATCCAGCAGGCATGTGACCCAGACGAGATCAGTCACGGAAAAGAGTGAACGAACGCACCGGTAGACATGCCTGGCATCTCTAATGTTGTCATCACACTGATAAGGTACTGCAGGGAACAGATTCATGCGGCCGTAGACACATAGATAAGGGCTTTGATAGATAAGCATTCACATCCAGAAAACATCATTATCTACACAGGCGGATCCGTGAAGCTCGGGTCAAGGTCACCATGGATGGGGAAAACAGTACAACAGGCAACTATGTCAAGCATGACCATGGAGATAGTGACTGCTTCTAAAGCACTAGCATGGACAGCAGAACAAACAGCCAGGCATGTATTAATCGTTTCAGACTCCATGAACATACTTCAGAAGATAGCAAGAGGCGGTTTGTGCTCTGAATGGGTAGAAACCATTCACAAATCGCAAAACTTCCCTCACCTGGATTTACACACCTGATCGTGCTGGTATAAAGGGTAAGGAACGAGCGGACTAACTGGCAACCAATGCATCAACGCCATGTGTGAAGAAGCATGGACAGGGCATGTATTATCAGCACTGTTCGGTGTGGGCTAGTAGATAATGAAGAATCTCTGTCACTGACACGATGGCGTGACATGGAAGTAAAGCACGGTGAAGCACGCTTATTCCGCTTTCGAGGTCGAGATAGAAGACATTATAACAAACCTCTCATGGGCACAATTGGTAGAAGTATCTCAGAGTGGCTGCTGCACTGTAGGACTGAGCACGCATGGGAATGCCTAATGTGCAGTACGCCGACCTTGATAAAATAACATCTCTCTCTTCCTCTCCCCCCCCCCCTTTATTTTTGTCTCGTCTCTTTCCCCCCACCCCTCTTCATTCTTGTTGTTGAGCTTTCTCATCACAGTTTAAATTTAAATAATTCATTTATGAATATTACCTACTCTGGCATCATGTGTAAGGTCAACATCCGTTTCTTGTTACTATATTGTCTTTCACCAGTTTGGGGAAGCCGCAGGTTTAAATTCTCGTTTCATTATTATAACTTTTCAATCGATTTATGTTGTCTCAATTGCTCTCTAATCTCATATTTGTTCCTTAATGTCTGTGAGTTCTGTTTATTACATGCAAATTTATTTCTCAGTCTATTCCATTGCCGTCGAAAATTCCACCAAGAATCACAATGTCCGTGCCTTCTTTTTCCCTTCTACTTATGCTGTAAAGCATTTCAGAGAGGCGTTAGATATAGTTTTCTGTCTTTTGCAGTTTTTTTAGATTGTGTTCCTGAAATGTGAAGATAATATTTTGAAACTGCTCGTTTAACCCTTGCAGTCCTATGTAGATGTTACTTTAACGTCGTGGATCTAAAAGTTTTTGCTTTGCATTATGGACTCGCCCGGAAACAGAAGAAAAAAAAAAAAAAAGCAGCAGCATATGCAGACTAACCTGAGGATCGCTTCTCGGCCTTTTGGCTAAGATCAAAGTGTAGTGTCTGTTTTTTATGCATACCAACACTACGCTACCATTGCCGAGCTTGAAAAGTTTCAGACACTAACGTAGAACAATTAAAACATATGGGACAAGATTCCCAAGCACACATGGACGTGTTAGAGTAAATGGTAATGAAAGAGCTCACCAGCTGGCAAGTAATGCACCAGTGCAAACAGGAAGAAGCGTGGACATAGCTGATATTATCACCGCTCTACGGACTGTGCTGAGGGATAATAGCGAATCTATGATATTAACACAACTGCGTGACAGATGAGTTAAGCTTGGTGAAGCACGCTTATGCCATCTTCGGGGTAAAGACAGAAGATACTATAACGAGCTTCTCGTGGAAACATTCGGTAGAGGTACCTTGGAGCGATTGCAGCATTGCAGGACTGAGCACTTTTGGCGATGTTCAGTGTACGAAGACGTCGATTGTGAGAATAGAATATAAGGATAGCCGCAAACCTAACAATGAGAGACAGTTAGAAAAGATACTGTTAAACAGAGTTCGGTAGCTTAACCTTGCACCAAAGGGGGACTGCGTGGTCGCTAGTCATGGTGTCTGCCTCGAGTGCTAGAGGTTGCGGGTTCAATTTCCGGTAAAGGCTGGGATTTTATCACGTGGACTTGGACTTCTAGTAATTCCCTCTGGTTAGTGAAATCAGACGCCCGTGTGCATTGTTGCGCACATAAAAAAAAAATAACTTGGCAGTTGGAATTCGGAAAGTGTAGCCTACCGGCGCTGCCCTGGCAAAATTTTGAGTAAAAAAAAAAATCTACCTAAAGTATTTCAGGATCCTCGCCAGTGCACTGAGCTTCTTCGGACTCAGACTGGTGTTAGAAGAAGAACGGAGCACTTATGGGTTACTACCCGTGTGCCTTGATGTTGATCCGATGTTCAAACTTCAACCTTGCATCAGATTCATTGAATTGTAGGGTCCTCTCTGAATACAGCCACAACTACCACCAACACAGGCGGTACACCTAAAAATATGCGTTTAATCATGAGGGCGTCTAACGAGAATTGCAAACATTTCCACCTTAACGACACTTAACGGCAAAAGTTAAAATCGATGATGATGATGATGATATGATGATGATGTTGACGATGATGGTGAAATTGAAATACAGCTTTGTTGCAGAAAGAATTATAGCAGGAGTATATAGACCGCCTCTTCTTCATTTTCTTCTGCCTTCTTTCCACCCAATGGAGTATAGGGCCATGACCTACTTTAAATCTAAAGTAGGTCATGTTTAGGCCCTCACATTAAGTTACTATATGCAGCATGTCCTGCCCATCTTCTGTAACTTTACCCTCTCGCTGCGAGTCCGGCTCCCTTTTCCATGTGTTGTTAGTTCTGTCTCTAATTCTGGTTATATTGTTCTCATGTTTTCTCAACGATCGTTAAATAGAAATGGATACGGCAAAAGAAGAATAGGACAGTAAGAGCAAAGAAGTGTGTAGCAACTAGAGTAATCAGTGGACAAAAAATAAGCTCGCTGAAACGTAAAATAGACCACAGTGTGTACATATGTTTTAACTTCGACATTGACACTACTAAGGGTGTGTGTAGGCTGGTCTCCTCCCACACCCCATCACCGAGCGGTCATGTAACACTGCTTGTACAAGCAGTTGTCACGTATTTACGTTTGTAAAAACCCTGAGCTTTACTGGGGATTAAGTAACTTCGCAGCGTGTAAGCTACAGAAATCAATCTATACACGATTTAAAGTAAGTCGGTTTCTAAATAAAGAATAAACACAAACATGAACACGAACGTCGAGGCTAGAAAGCTTTCATCAGTATTTAAAACAAACTGACATGGATGCAGTTGCATAGAAGAATCAGTAAAATAACTTAGTTCTGTGACAAAATATGTATATGAACAATAAAGATTTCTCCCTCACTGTCACAATCTCCATCCACACTTGAACAATAAGTATTACTCCCCTACTGTCACAATCTCCATCCACCACTGAACAATGAAGATTGCTCCCCCACTGTCACAATCTCCATCCACCACTGAACAACAAAGATTGCTCCCCCACTGTCACAATCTCCATCCACCACTGAACAACAAAGATTGCTCCCCCACTGTCACAATCTCCATCCACCACTGAACAACAAAGATTGCTCCCCCACTGTCACAATCTCCATCCACCACTGAACAACAAAGATTGCTCCCTCACTGTCACAATCTCCATCCACCACTGAACAACAAAGATTGCTCCCCCACTGTCACAATCTCCATCCACCACTGAACAATGAAGATTGCTCCCTCACTGTCACAATCTCCATCCACCACTGAACAACAAAGATTGCTCCCCCACTGTCACAATCTCCATCCACCACTGGACAATGAAGATTGCTCCCCCACTGTCACAATCTCCATCCACCACTAAACAATAAAGATTGCTCCCCCACTGTCACAATCTCCATCCACCACTAAACAATAAAGATTGCTCCCTCACTGTCACAATCTCCATCCACCACTGAACAACAAAGATTGCTCCCCTACTGTCACAATCTCCATCCACCACTGGACAATGAAGATTGCTCCCCTACTGTCACAATCTCCATCCACCACTAAACAATGAAGATTGCTCCCCCACTGTCACAATTTCCATCCACCACTAAACAATAAAGATTGCTCCCCTACTGTCACAATCTCCATCCACCACTAAACAATGAAGATTGCTCCCCTACTGTCACAATTTCCATCCACCACTAAACAATAAAGATTGCTCCCCTACTGTCACAATCTCCATCCACCACTAAACAATGAAGATTGCTCCCCCACTGTCACAATCTCCATCCACCACTAAACAATAAAGATTGCTCCCCCACTGTCACAATCTCCATCCACCACTAAACAACAAAGATTGCTCCCCCACTGTCACAATCTCCATCCACCACTAAACAATAAAAATTGCTCCCTCACTGTCACAATCTCCATTCACACTAAAAAGACAAAGGGATCTAGACATTCAGACCGACCAGGAAGAGAGAGGTTGTTCTGGCAGAACTACTAACACCTGTAGTCACTAACTGGAAAACGAAGGCCGAACACGAAAAAAAAAGTGGAGACAGGTGATATCTGCAGCAATGAACTGGTGGAGTTCGGGAAAGTGAACAAGAAAAAGGGAAAGGAGAAGACATAATTCAGCAAATGTTCAAGTTTTACAATTAAAAAAAGAAAAACCAGTTTATTCCAGTGAGTAATTTCAATACTGTTTTGTGACTTTTTTCAGCCTGTGCATTTAGTGAGGTGGCGGCACAGATGGCGGATTCGCCTTTAAGATGGAATCAGTTGTGTGACGAAACGTTGGTCCTCTGTACTCAGGCATATGAAAAAGGCGTCAAGAATAAGTAAGTATTGGCGTCGTGTCTTGATGTGTAGTTTGTACACCTCCTGGACCTACGAACTATGCAGCTTAAGACTATCCTCAGTTAGGTTTAGGTTTAGACAACAGATGAATATCATGGCACAAGGGTAGTAACTAATAAGTGCTCCGTTCTACGTCTGACTCAAGCCTGAGTTCGGAGAATCTCAGCACAGTGCATTAACTCCGTAGCACTGGCGAGAATCCTGAAATACTTTGGGTAGGTTTTTAACTTCAAATTTTGCCCGGGCAGCACCGCTAGGCTACTCGTTTTTTACGTAAGCAACAATACACACAGGCGTGCGATCTTACTACCCAGAGACCAGGGAAAAATACTTGAAGTCAAGGTGAAAAAAATTCCAACGTTCACAGTGTCCTGAATCCGGGACCTCCATCACTCGATGCGGTTTCATGCCACGATACCATGAAGCACCTTATCTCCGCTTGAATTAAAAGTAATTTCAGATGGGTTTTTTTTGTGTGTGCTGATTTACAGTACGTACAATAGAGTACACGTTACGTATTGTTCACACGATGCACAATATTTACACGTACGTAAACTACATTTGTGTATTTTATGTAGAATTTTGTATAACCTGTTTAAAGCTTCTTCTCTGTTAACCGGTTGTAAGCTCCGGTGGAAGGTCCTGGCCGTTCGTCCATCTGGAGATTGGCTTTGTGCCAGGGCCTGAATTTTGCAAGTGAATCCGTTTTACAGATCTTGCTTTTGTTGTTGTTGTATGCAAACTGTTATTTCCTTGTCTCTCATGCTGATGCACTCTGACGTCAAAGGAAGCCACTCCTGTCCCAATTAGTCGTCTTTTACGACATGCTTGTTGTGGGAATCAGTGTGTCTATTCTTGTTTTTCCTCCACACAGAGAATTAAAATAGTAATTTTAGACTGCAATTTTTTTTACAGTACAAACAACGATTACACATTATGTATTTTTCACACAATGCGCAATAATTCTCCCAGTCCTTAAGAAAGAGAATAGGGGCTTTTGAGCTGTAATGCTATAGAAAGATTCTCAAAATATCTTTGACGAAAAAGAGGAGAAATATTGACATCTTGAAAGATCTGAACATCTAGGAAGATTGGCTAATAAACAGCCTCACGTCTCGGAAGCTTGAATATTTTTGTCATATCAAGCGCCACGAAAAAATTATAGCAGAAGGCATGGTACAAGGAAGGAGGGGCAGGAGCCAACCGACACAAAGATGGGCACAGGATATAAGTGACTCCTTGAGTATGAAAGTGCATGAGGCGGGAGAGCTGGCGAGAGACCGAGTTTCTTTGAGGCAGACCGTGATGAGAGCGACGTTCTGCAAAGAACCTGCTACATGATGATGATGGTGATGTTCATTAATTACACGTAAATAGATCGCATTTTTGTGTTTTATGTAAAATTTTGTATCATCAGTTTGAATGAAAGTGGTGTTGAGAAATATAGATTTGATCTAATGACCAGTTCGACTTACGACCAGCCAGTCGGAACAGAACTCGGTCGTAAATCGAGGTGACCCTTTAGCTATCTTTAGTCTCTGAAATCAGTGGTAGAGGTTGCGGGACGCGTGGCTGCCAGTTCGAATGTCGTTTGGTTTAAATAGGCATCAAGTTTTATTGTTTATTTAAAAAAAAAAGAAGAAACCCAGCTTGTGTGGATCCAGTCAAAAATTGATACCTGGGGCGTGGAAAGTAAAGTGAACAGGCTTGAGGTCTGCCACATCAGCCATCAAGTACCGACTAGTCTGTACAAATATGGAAACAGCACCATATGTGCGATATCAAAATGGCACTGTGCGAGTTAGTGAGTTACTTGACTGTGAACTCCGTCAGATACATTCCAGCCACGCTTACTGGATTGTGTTCTACTGTATTTTCAAATAGTTTATGCAGTCAACTTTGTGGTTACATGTTTTTAAACGCATTATGGGAGCTGCGTGGTCTCGATGCATGGCGTCCGCCTCGAGGGCTGCAGGTCCCTGGTTAAAGCCCCGGTGAAGGCTGTTTTTTTTTTTTTTTTTCAAGTGGACTTCTAGTAATTTTCCCCTGGTCTCTGGGTAGTAAGATCGGACGCCAGTGTGTATTGTAGCGCATATTTAAAAAAAAAACACTTGGCAGGTGGAAATCGAAGAGTAGTAGCCTAACCGCGCTGCCTGGGCACAAATTTTGGGTTAAAAATCTACACAAAGTATTTCAGGACCCTCAGGGTTCGTGCACTGCGCTTAAATTCTTGGGACTCAGGCTTGGGTCAGAAGTAAAACGGAGCACTTATAGGTTACTACCTTTGTGCCATGATGTTGATCGCGTCGTCTTAACCTAAACCTTAACGCAATGTTTTTATGTTTATACAAAAGAGGTCGACCCAGCATTAAGTGGGTAGCATGTACAAGCCATGGGATGTAAAAGCGGCCGGCAGGATAATGACCACATCACCCACCAAATGCCGATTGGTCTATACAAAATAGATCTAGCCCTATAGACTCAATATGCATGAAGGCAGGGAAATTGGTCCTTGACTTGATTTATACAAAGAGCTCAAATCCAACGGTTTGGTCACTTAGAGAAAGTGCTCTGTATCGCCGTACCATACAAGGCTTACACCCAAAAAAAAAGGGAGGAGGGGTGTTAGAGCACGAGGTGGACCAAGAACAACATGGACAGATACCATTAGAAAATCTCTAAGATAGCACGGTGTGTTTATGGTAGAGGCAGTCAGAAGAGTAAGAGGGAGAAATTTTACATATCCCTCCAATCCACGACAGTAAAAGAGGAAGTGAATAAGAAGAAGAATGTTTGTTTTGGTGAAAATCTAAAGACGCGATTACCTTCTGAAATGATAAATAACCATTGTCTTAACAGTTACACAGTCTGGGACATTTTCTTACTAATGTCACATCGGGCATGTGGTGATAGACTTATCACTGTATAGTGAAATCGGCACCCGATGTGTGCCGGATAGTTGGGGTGGAAAAAAAAGGGGGGGGGGGGGGTTAACATCATGCTGCCTGCCTTTACGTCCAGGCTTTGCTGTTCTGCAATTTGAGAGATAGTGTTTAAAAAAATGCATCTTGAAAGATGCTCCTGAAGAAAGTCTTGATTGTTCGTCCAATCGGACTGTGGCTTGATGCCAGGCTCTAAGTTGTGCGTGTACATCCATCTCGCTAGCTTATTTGTATGCAGTTGGTTGTTCCCGCTCCCACTCTGAAGAAAGCTCCATATTAGTTGACTCCTACGCCATGCTTCATGGAGAAGCATTCAGTCTCCCACTCCCCCCCCCCTCTCCCCCCACAATGGGATCTCTGGAACCCACATAGGGAATAGGCTTATTTTGAAGTTACTTTATTAAAATCTCACTGTTGTTTGTTGGGCTACAAAGTGAAATCCAGGTCGCGCAAATCCGTCTGACTTGAGTGCTGCAGGATATGTTCCTTATGTTTGGCCTGTGTTACAAAGGGAAGGAGGGAAGTATCTAGTTACCGCATCTCATATATACGTGTCATGGTTTACGTGAAAGGGCCAATGACTTCACACCTTTTACAGCAGTGTCAACTGTCACATATCAAAATCATTTATACTTTATTGCGCTTTATAATTTCCGAACAAAGTGTTTTTGTGTATTTATCAGCAGTTACCTAGGATCTGTGTGTACCTTTACACAGGCTTATTTGCGTCTGCTCACATACTTACTTTGCTTCTTTTTCTACGTCTTCTTTTTCTTCTTCTTCTTCTTTTTCTTATTCTTCTTTTTCTTCTTCCTCTTTTTTTCTTCTTCTTCTTTTCTTCTTCTTCTTCTTCTTCTTCTTCTTCTTCTTCTTCTTCTTCTTCTTCTTCTTCTTCTTGTGACTCTAATAGGCTTTTGTTTAAGCATTGGTCTTCAGTCTTTTAATAACGACATAGCTAAAGCTTGTGAAGAAAATATTACCAGTTTGGGTTTCAGCCGACCTACTTGTATGTGCTGTCCAGAATCATGACTAGACTACATCCTAACATGCTTGTCTACTGAAGTGACGTTCCAGTACTGGGCTTGCAAACGCCACAGCTCTCCGAAAGTGTATAGGGGAAGAAGACCTCTGAAGTCCAGTCCCTGTGCAAATTGTACCGAGGTACTAGGTCGGATAGAAGATTTGTTTTCCCAGCCAACCTTTCTGGGATTCACCCCCCCCCCCCCCCCACCTCCCCCAAGCGTGTTTGGAACGTTTAACAACTAGGCGGACTTTAAGTAGGTAGCAGTTTGTATTATTAGCGTTTAGACTCTTCGTGGACTGCTGAAGAAGGAAACTAAGCACGTATGGGAACGCCCGGAGTGCAGTGATGTTAACTCTAGATTAGTTAATTCATTCGTTAATTTACTCATTCATTCATTCACTTATTACATTTAGGCTTGTAATGGAGATAAATCTACAGAACCTCAAGCTGTTACTTTGTGGGAACAAAATTAAAGTTCCCTCTCAAAATCACAAATTCATGGGGTCGGAACAACCATCACACAGACAGTGCCTGTATAGACATAAGTAGACAGATTAAAACTCAAGTAGAAAAAGACACCACGCAACGCACTAGAGGCTGACTGATTCAACTTAGCACTTAGGACAGAGTATCTGAGTTGAGCTGAGTCAAGAATTGTCATCACAGAACTCAGGGTATTTCCATGCATGCTCCGTTCTCATCATCAGCGGCCAGCGCAGAGTTCCAGCACAAAAGTACCTAAGAAAACAAACGCACATCAGACCCCCAGACTGTAAACTAGCCGCAAGGACAGACAGTCACTGACATAAAACGCGCTCTTGCTGCAGTCAGTTAAGGAGACAACAGATTTCAGGAAGGACATGAGGGAACCGCAGACACGTGGAGACGAGAGAGAACGCCGAAACAGAGCGGATGTAGACGGAAACACTCACTAAGCTTTGCGACTTAATTTATAACAGGTTGGGTAGACCTGAAAGCCAAGGTCGTTTCTGAAAAAAGTCTGCCCCCCCCCCCCTTCCCCCCCCCCCCGACAGGACCCGAACCCACGACCTTCCGATACGCAGGCGTGCGTCTAACCGCTAGAAGGCCAATTAGTGTTGTGTTAAAATCCGATTTCTGACGAGATGCCTTTTCTAATCTCCATTGTGTTGGGCCTTTCAAGGCTATCAAAGCATATAGATAAATATATTTTTGGCCAGTCCAGGAAAACACTATTAACTAACTGTTCATTTAATGGTGAAACAGAGTTGGATTATGAAAAGGGATGTGTACCAGGTGTAGTTTTTGTTGTTGTTGTAAACTTCATGAATGGTACTTGGTCCGATCGAGTCAGAGAGGTGATCGCTTAAATTCTTCGCCGTACAGAACTACCCATCCCTCTCCCCTTTCCATGATTGCTTCCTGAAGTCTGACTCCTAGTGACTCAAAGAGCCACTTTGGTCCCGCAAATTCCTGCGAAGCAAATCCAGAAACCACAACCAAACAGTTATCTATTAGCATCTGTGGTTACAAATATGTTGCCCTTTATGCTGAACCTCGCTGAGTTTTTGACTGCTCATTCTGTTTGTTGACAGCCCTTTATCGTATGTATCATCATAACCTTTTTTTTTTTTGTGGTACTCAATGAAACTCATAATGTACCTTTTAACGATCCCTTCTTTGTGAATCTTTTTTTTTTTTTTTTTAGTGACACATTTGTGGTGAGTACCGACACCCATTGTATCAATGATGTGATGCTAAATTGTTTAACATATCTTATACTCTAACCTGCTACCGCAAGTTTCTGTTTGTCATGACCTACCCACTGTTTCCTTTTTTAGTGATTGCCTACCAGCATTAGAGAAAATGTTGGAAGGGGCGCGTGCCTACATTACATTCGAAGGCAAAGAATAAAGATGTTTTGCCATCTGAGCTATCAACTGTAACCTTTTTAAAGTCAATTATTTGCGCACCGTAATTAATTTATGATTTACGTCATGTTTCAAGCGCCACGTAACCGTTAGTTTAGAATTTCACTGCTATAAACCATTGTTTTAATCATCGATCTAACTTATAATTATGCTACCTTTTAAAGAAAGAGTATTTTTGGTTTTGTTCTTTTACGGTGGCACGTACTCGAATGTGGTTGTTCAACAATTTGCGATGTAATTCCTGGTACTCAAGGGCCTCATCCTAACACTGTTAGCAGTTTAACCAGTAGAATCAATTGTGAATAGAGCTTTAATGTGGAGAACAGTACCCAAAAATAAAGCACACGACAGCAGCAAATGTTGCACTAACTCTGCAGACGGTGATCCCCCCCCCCCCCGCCCCCATCTTTCCGCCCAAAAAAGGAGGCATAATTTTTTTTTAATTACAATCATTAAAAATTCCCCTGTGCACAAAAGTGCAGCCATAATAAAACTCTATATGAGACTCCCTACAACAAAAACTCTAGAGGGAAGGGGATAGGAAGACCAAGGACGAGATACATAGCTGGTGTAGTTAAACAATATTACAAAAAAAAAAAAAAAACAACAACAAATCTGCTACCCGAGAGGAGCAAAACAAATATATAAAACCACACCACTGAGCTACAACCCGAAAATAGTGTGCCGGCAAAAGATGAAGAAGAATTAGTCTGCCGAATATAAGGGACACTTTTTCACGACTTCAGGCCTATTGGGCATATAGGGCTAGAGCTATATTTTATGGATCAGTCGGCACTTCGTGAGTAAATGGGCCAGTCTTTACTTCTAATGAGTTTTATCCGGTACCCTTGGAGCCAATGTCGTTTTTGAAGAAGAAAAAAAGTCCAGAACCGTCCGGATTTGAACCAACGACCTTTCGATCTGCAGGCGACCTTCTAGCGGCTAAACCGGAACGGCTTCCCATATGACGAAAGAAGGTGGACAGTTTTCTGTTGGTAACCAGGGCTCTTCGAAGGTTGACTTCCTCACTGTTAACTCTTCTTACGTGCTCCTCAACAGGGAAACAATCAACTGGTACTACCACTGTGTGTTTCGAATACAGTGTGAGAGGTGGTCTGAAGGCTTCTATAACAGGCAGAACATCCTCAGTAAAATCCAAGCACGTAAGGAATTCTGTAAGTATATTGATCATATATATGCTAGGTTTGTTGAGGACTCTTCCAAATCTTATCTAGAAAATATTTTGGTCTTATCTCCTCTATCACGACAACAAACTCTTGAATTAAGAATCGCCATCATAGCACTCGAGACACTCCGAGAAGCGCTTTGTCCCCCATCTTCAACAGCAAGCGAAGAGTTCAAATTCCGATGGTACCAGTAACTGTCTGATTGTATATCCGTCTCCATAATGTCTTATTTCTATGCCTTCTTCCCACTCCATTTCCTTGTCTCCTCCTCTTCCAACTCTCTCCGTTGCCACCTGAAGATGGTATCAAGCACAGAGCACGCACTCCGTAGCTCAGACGATTATTCTTTCATTATTAAATACAAAATCATCACAATAAATGGTAATATGACTGTGTTTTATGTATATTGTGAAATGTAGTCTGAATGCGTCTACAAAAGAAAGGGCGACAAAGATGGGAATTGCTCGCCACAACTTATAAACCGTTACCAAAAAGGTTTGATGTTTTAACATCGGATCAACATCATGGCACACGCTCTGTTGCACCGGCGAGGATCCTGAAATACTTTGGGTAGATTTTTAACTCTTTTGCGACCTTAAAAAATGTATTGTTTTCATGTCTCTATATTGACGCATCAGGCATTTACAAGTAATCTCCATTGCTGCTGGCCTGCTTCTTTTCTACCTATGGTATGGCATAGCATCTAAACAGAATACAGCCACAACACTCCCCAGAGTGCCAGCTATGTAACTACCTTACGAAACTGTTGACCATCATCTCTTTGAGTGCCCAAAACTCAACGAGACTAGAAGAATGCTACTCCCTCCGAGACCAGACAAGTGGAACACCTTGTACGGGGGAACAGAACAGCTTGTGAAAACATGTAAATTCCACTACCTGGCACTGGGCCAAAGGGCGAAAGCTCATGCGCTGCTGGATCAATAACAACAACAACACTACCTATGGTATCCCGTATTATTGTACATTTCGTCCTTTCCCTATCTACTGTCCTCCGGGTTTCTTGAGGTCATCCTTGTCTTCTTTCTCCCTCTGCGGTCCAGCTAAGATCTATTCTTGCCACATAAGGTAAGAGACCATAAGGCATTCTGTTAACATATCCTCACCGCCCCATCTTTTTCCTTTGATAACGTTTTCCTTTGGTCAATATTTTGTTTTCCTCCTTAGGTCTTAGTTTGTGATCTTGATTGACCAAAATATCTGCAGGATTCTTCTTGAGCATTAACCTAGAGTATGTGTCAACCTAATGAATGTCCTCACAGCAATGGCAGTATCTGCTATTGGACAATATTCTACATAGCAAACGTGAATTCTGACCTCTTTTATTCCTTAGTAAACAGAGACGTGCTAAAAGTACAGAAAATGACATTAAGTGCACATACTTGAAACGTTAAATTTAACGTTGGCAAATAGGAAAGCGAAGCGAAGCATTCATCTGAGTGTGAATGTATACTTGAACTAATAATGTCATGTACAGCTCATTAATGCGTTTACTCTGTAATGTCAAACAATTTTAGTGACATCTTTTCTGGATCTAGATATATTTTGTTCCACATTACTTTGTTCATCCTTTCTAGAGATGTTTTAGACATAACATTTCTTTTATGTGTTGATTCTTCTTTCTATTTGAATTATTTTTTAACGGCTGTTTAAAAACATCATGTACATGACACTTGTTACTATTTCCTTATATTTTTTCTCCTCTTTTCCTCTTGCATGCAAAAGATGCCTGTTATGTTGCTTTATTTACTTCATGACATTAATGTCTTTCATTACCGTACAATGCAGTATACGGTTCTTAGTCATTTCAGATATAATTATTTAAGTTCTGTCTTCTGTCAAAGATAACTGTTATATTAACTGACCGTACATGAAATATTAATTGAGTTGATTCAAGAACCGACATCACAGCACTTGGGGTATTCACATAAGCACTCCGTCCCTATCATCAGCAGCCAGCGCAGAGTTCCAAGACCAACGGTGCCTGTTGCAGTCTGATTATATATCTGCCCTGCATTTCCTCTGAGTGTCGAGTGTCGGCCAGATCCCCTCGTCAGTTCCCGCTGCATCACTCTGACTGCAGCAGTCACTAGACTGAGATGATCAATTTGCAGTTTCTAATTGTAAACGTGCTCCCATAAGGCTTTAACCAAGTGGTGCAGTGCCAGATAATCTATCCGCTTGTTCATTTCCCCATACACCGGCTTAACCCGGAGAATAGATCCAGACAATGCTTCTCACCCATGACCACCGAAGAGAAACATGCCACTCTTCACGAAGCAGGTCCATCCGCACCTTCTTCAGTGTGCTTTCTGAGGCTGTTACAGTTACGTGGAAATATGAGTTGAAGTACTTATAGTCTATGGTAATATGGTATTATGGCGCTTGACGAAACATTTTTCAGCAATTCGCGAAGAGAGAGTGAGGGGGAGACGATGATGAAGTTGGGAGACAAAAAGGCATAGAAATAGGAGGGCTGATGCTAGAACAAGACGAAAATCTGAGGGACTGGGCTTCAGTTATTTAAGAGTAGGTTACTGGAACTGTCGGGATGCCAGGCAAAGAGGTCCTATACTGGAGAGGTAGTTTTTATTTTTATTTTGATGTCATCATGCTCCAGGAGCTAAATAAGGATAGATATCATTGCCCTGGGTAATCAGAATGCTACTGGCACCATTAGTTTCGAAACTCTTCACTGGATCCTAAAGAGGGGGACGGAGCGCTTACTGAAATGCCCTGAGTGTTGTGATGTCTGTTCTTGAATCAACTCAACTCAACTCAGTCTATGGTGCCTCTTTTGTGTATTTATTAAGTTAAAGATTAAATCTTTGAAACTGAAGGAGTTAGCCTAACAATATCTTGACACTGAGAGCGTTAAACTCTTCTCCAAACCTGTAAAACGTACTTTAAATGGATTTTTTCCCCTTTTCTGAACAGATGACCCAAACACAGAATGGTGGAAGAATGGAGGCTGTAAAAGGCGGATTTCCTTGGCCTGTATTCCTTTACTGCTATTCATACACAGGATTTTGCGGGCATTACTGCAGTAACAGCTTCGTGTAATTCCGTGATAGTTGTATCTATGACAATCAATGCATTTGTATTCAAATTACATTCCTAAACACATAAATACAATGGACTATGAATTGTTCTATTGAGTAGCTTTGGAAAACAAACAACACTCTTGCAATTTCTTGCCAATTTGAGATGACTGTTTTGCACAATGGAAACCGAAATGAGTGAGTGTGAGAGAGAGAGAGAGAGAGAGAGAGAGAGAGAGAGAGAGAGAGAGAGGGGGGGGGGTCAAAACGACACACACACACACACACACACACCACACACACACACACAGATATATAAAAGGAACATCCTCTACAGAGGAAATTAATTACCAGTCGTCATCATAGAGTTTCTTTGTAGTGACTCGCTTACGCCAAACTCCACCAGAAATCCTCTTAGTTCATATTCAGTGTCCTTGCCTTGTGCATACATCCCTAATTTGTGTCTAGTATCGGTGTCCACTTTCGTGCAGTTTGTTGTCAGCTGGTTACAATGTCCTGCTACCAACTGCCACAGAGCAATGCTGAAAAACCATACAGTGAACACCGAATGATGGAAAGGCGACGCAAAAGAACATCTAAAAATATTTTGAGATCTAGCTTATGCAATGAATTAGAAAAAAGCATACATAAAATCATTAAATCTTCGCCCAACACATGGAAAAGGTAACTGCAGGAGAGATGAAGAATGTGATCTAAGAGGGTAGCATGAAGAAATATCATCAAACGTTTATCCATAATATCACCTTAGTTAGTTAGATAGTCAGACAGTTAGTTATAGTTAGCTAGTTAGTTAGTCAGACAGTTAGTTAGTTAGTTAGTTAGTTAGTTAGTTAGTTAGTTAGTTAGTTAGTTAGTTAGTTAGTTAGTTAGTTAGTTAGTTAGTTAGTTAGTTAGTTTGTTTGTTTGTTTGTTAGTCTTTCCTCTTGAGCCTAGGGCGGCCCTTTGGGCATAGTAGCTCTCCGTGACCGGGGTTCGTTGCCACTTGCTTAAGGTCTTGGATGTTCTTTAGGCCCATCGTTGAGCCTTCCTTGATGATGAAACTACGCAGAAACTAGCTTGTTCTTCCTGGTTTTCCGGTGTCCGTATGAGGGCTTGATGGCGGTGTCTGGTCTTAGCCATTCTGATTGCATGGCGGATGTAGTTCCAGCGAGAATCACTTGATTACCAGAATAACCCCCCCCCCCCCCCCCCACCCCCACCGCTCCAACTACAACGAACTTGGAAAGAGACTTGATCTTATGGCTTACTTTCAGACACACAAGTGAGGTGAGCCGATGAGCTACTGACAAGCCCACTTGAAGCAGTTGGGTCAATTTGTCTAGATCTACATATGACTTCAAGTAGTGTTGTATATACTAATTATTACGATGTATATAATTATGCACATATTTTCATTAACATAGAATTATCACATTTCACACAACCACATACATTTTCTTTGCCACACTAACAATTAGTGTAAGAAGCCATGATTTACTTTTTTAGGAATTGTTTTTGTTGTTAATTACTTCCAGCAATCTTTCACTCATATGTATTACAATGATGGCTAATTTACTGTTGCACTATACATTTTTGACACATGTATATATTGTTGCATTACCAATCAAAAGTTTTGAATAAAACAACTACTTTCATCATGCTAGTGTTGTATTAGTATATGTTATGGAGTGTTTTACACACACTTGTGTGTGTGTGTGTGGTGTGTGTACGAGAAGAAATCAAGTAAGTATGTCGCAAATGATTATGGGAGGGCTGGAAAATGTAGTTAGTGGTTTCCAAAGGTGTCATTAGGTGACAGCAACATTGAACTTTATGTTTCCGATCATTAGGGAGCGCAAGGAGTTGCATGCGCTTTCACAACACAGAACCCAAATCGCGACTGTACTCATGGAGTGTACTCTCAAAGAACAACGTGCTGTTGTGCGTTTCTTTGGGGCAAAGTCTGCTTTCAAAAGACATTCATACGGAAATGCGTGTTGTTTTTGCTGACAAATTTTTATCCTGTAAAGCGGTGAATAGCTGGGTAAAAAAAAATTTCAAGGGCGCTCTAAAATTGTTGATAAAGTCTTAACTGCTCGTCCTGTTGAGATTGCAACAGACGCCTCCGTGCAGCAGGTGGAGAGAATGATTAGAGGCGACAGGCGAGTAACAGTTGACTCTGTAGCAGCTGCAATAGGGTTCTCACATGTTTCATCATACAATATAATGCATGATCGATTGAAATTTATGAAAGTGTGCTCAAGGTGGGTACCCAGACGATTGACCAAAACAAAACAGAAAGTTCGTTCCGTATCCTTTACAGGACGTAGCAGAACCAACGCCAGCATTTTTTGGCTGTTGGCGTTTCCCTAGACAAATTTAAGTCCAGTAGTTTGCCATTGTTACTGGACGGTCGGCTTCTCGATACCACTGTCGAATTCAACGCACGGCGCAAGGCCCGCAGATAGGATCAAACCCGGTACCCCGGCATTACAAAGCCCGCTTCAATGCAATGGAAACACCCTTCTTCGCCTAATGTTAAAAAAATTCAAGGGTACACCATTAGCAGGGAATGTTATGCTGACAGGGTTCTGAGATTGTCAAGGAGTGCTTTAAAACAACTTTTTTTTTAAAGAAGTGACAATGTGAATGCTGATTCACACTGTAAAGATCTATCGATGTTTTATGATGCCGTACAAAGAAAACGTCCAGGCCTGCTGACTAGAGGACTACTGCTTCTTAATGACAATGCCAGACCACATAAGGCTCGGTTAACTCAGGAGAAAACCAACCATCTGGACTGGGAACTTCTGGAACATCCAACTTACAGCCCCGACCAAGCCGCTAGCGATTTACACCTTTTAGGTTCACTGAAAACCCATTTGGCGGGAAACATTTAGTAAAAGACGCGGAAGTTGTCAGAAAAGTAATGATTGTTTAACGCCGCGCTCAGTCGCTTCATATGCCGTGATGTTATGAAGTCTCAAGTTGTCCGTGACTCCTTCAATCCATATTCTTCTTGGTCTTCCCCTGCCTCTTGGTGTTTTGATTTTCATGTTGTATGCTCTTGATGCTGGCATCGTTGGTTCCATTCTCATTAGGTGACCAAACCATTTCATTCTTTGCTTCTCAATAAATTTAACGATGTGATGGTTCCAATAGTTCTTGTAATCATTCTCATTAGGTGACCAAACCATTTCATTCTTTGCTTCTCAATAATTTACGATGGGTATGGTTCCAATAAGTTTCTTGTAATACACATCGTTTCTCAATCGATCTCTTCTGGTTTATATTCCGCAGCCATTCTCAAACATCTCATTTCACACGTGGTTAGTCTTCTCTCGTGTTTCTTTTGTTAATGTCCAAGTCTGACATTGATAACCTATGTCGGTATAAAGATTGTATTTTATAATTTGTCTTTTTATCTCAGCTGGGACAGCAGGGTGTTTCAAAATTGGGGCAAGCTGGTATGCGACATTGTTGGCTTGTTGGATTCTTGCTTCGATCTCTCTGTCTATTTTACCATTGAATGTAAAGATACTTCCCAAGTATTTAAATTCTTGCACTTGTTTTAGGCTGTGATCTAGAATCTTATGTCGATGGTCTGTTGCTCTCTACTTATGCTCATGACTTCTGTCTTTTCAGTATTGATCTTCATATGATGCTTGAGGCAACTGTCGTGTAGTAGGTTCATGTGGTCTTGCAGCTGTTTACTATCACTGTGAAATATGCATTGATCGTCGGCAAAGAGCAGCTCATTGAAGTCCTCCTGTTTATCGACATCTGTTGGTGTTATGTCTATTTTATTAATATTGTCCATAAATATTATGAAAAGTAAAGGTGATAATACACAAACCTTGTCTTACTCCTGATGTTACTGGAAACCAGTCTGTGATGCCAGCTCTTGTTCTAATGGCGCTTTCACTTTGTCTATAAATAGCCCTAACACAATCTAAAATTGTTCCATTTATACCGTAGTTTTCAAGAACTTTCCATAATAAATTTCTGTTTACTCTATCAAAAGCTTTTTCTTGATCTATGAAAGCGATGTTCATTTGATGTCTGTGTTCCATTGTCTTTTCGCTAACTTGTCTTAAAGCAAAAATAGCGTCAGTACACCCTCTTCCTTTCCTAAATCCGACCTGTGATGGGCTCAGGATCGGTTCTACAACGGATCTAATTCGTTGTTCCAGAATTTTGGCAAACATTTTTCCTACGTGGCTTAGAAGGGAGATGCCTCTGTAATTGTTACAATCTTGCTTATTGCCTTTTCTTTTCCAAATTGGGACTATAAGGGCTCTTTGCCAGTCTATTGGTACAGTTCTTTCATTCCAGGCTTTCCTAAATAGGTGGAGAAGCCAGGTGACTCCAATTTCTCCACAAGCCTGTATAGCCTCGGCTGATATTCCATCAACACCTGATGCCTTATTTTTGGGACTGCATCTGATTGCTTCTCTGACTTCTTGTTCGATTATTGTAGGCTGTTCCTCGTTTGTACATCTGGGTGTGAATGGTACTGTTTCCTCATTTCCTGTTACATTCAGAAGAGTCTGAAAATATTCTTTCCACCTTTCTGTGATCTTGCCCTCCTCATGTATGGGTTTGCCTTGACTATCATTGACATATTCAGATGGCTGGAATGGTTCATCTCTAGTTCTCATTTTTGCAATGGTTTTGTAAAACTGTCTACTAGATTTAGCACAGATTTTGGTAAGATTTTCCCCATACATGATGTCGTGAAATGATAGCCATTACGCATCGGTCTGTAAGGCTGATAACCTGTCTTACCTGTAATCTGCACAAAATTCAAACTTGGACTCGCCCGGAAATATATAGTCCCTTATATCTATATATATAGGCCTTTATTAGACAACATTATTATGTCTACCTTTTCTGGTTACTTTAACTAAACTCCACTTTTAAATGTATATATCTTGGATATATATTAAGGGAGTTATTTGAGGTTTCGTGGAAACCGATTTACTCCTTGCTCATGTATACTAGGGACT